TCAGCACCCCACACCTCACACACCTGCTTCACCTGCTTGATAACAGCACACTGGAGGATATTCCACATCGATGAGATTGAATCCGCTAACTGGTCTACCCTCTAAGCCCTCTCTTTAACTATGCTCCCACTTTCGACATATTGAAAATACAATCTAAATTTTAATGTAATGTAATTAAAATTTACCGATTTGCTTATTTTACAGATTCCAAATAAAAAGCTTCTTTTTGTTGTTGACTTCGATTTAATATTCCTCATTTGTTAAATACATTTTATTTGCGAATCTGCTTGTAATTCACTCTTGCAATTAGCTCGCTTGATTTTGAAATTTCCATGCGAGCACGCAAATTTCTTGTTTTCTCGATTTATGCTTTTGAAGGTTTAATGCTGCAACTGATATTTATGTTCATAGACTTGACAAATTATTACCCCACTTCAGGAATATTATTATGATTATTTGCCATGTTTGCCATGGTTGTAAAACACTCATACGTGCTTGCTACTGTTATCCGAAATCGTGTCAGAAATTACTATGAAGCTGATATACTCTAGTAGACTTGCAAGACTCCAATATCAGTTACACCATAGTATCTGAAGCTTTCGCTTAATATTGTCAAAGAATATAGAAGCTAATCCTTTTGATTGTTGTAAGTTAGTTAATATTGGTGTAGTTCTGCTTATATTTATTTTTATGGGCTATGGGTACAAAAACTAAACTGAATGCATTCGGGGCTACGTGACTATCACCGCCGCAATTGGCACTGGCAAAAGGCAAATTAACTAGTAACTAACTGTCTGTGCAATAAGCTTCACATGAGAGTTCTGCGTTTATCAAGCGATTGCCAGCGACATGCCCTGTCATAGCCAAATCCAGCAGCAGCTGTGAGTTGTGCGTTCTGAAGCACTTCGGCATTCATATGCATACTGCTGGCAGCACAACTCAACGTCAGCCAAGTGCCCAGGCAACTACGTGACAATGTCAAGCCCATGGAGTGTCGCGCGCAAACTTCGGCGCCTCAACCTTGTCGCACATATGTATGTTGCCTAGACGGCAGACAGCAGACGGCATCGCCGACGTTTGCTTTACTGCGCAGGGCACAGGGCAGCGTTGATTTCCGGCGAGTCACTATGCCTCTGTATCTGCCAATGCTAGTATAAATATTTAAACAATAATAAGTTGGCGGAAAAACGCAGGAACTTTCTTCGCTGTTTGCTTTTGGGGGGAGAAAATAGCGAAAACTTTTGTTAGGTTTTCACCGTGAAAATGGCACGAACTGAATGTAACTAGCTACAGTTGTCGGGAGCACTGAACGTTCACTAATCGTGTTTGGGGTTAGAACAGGTACACAATGTATAAGCCAGGTATGACGCATATGCACTCTGTTTGTCTACACTGTGAGCTATCGCATTTCATGTTTTCAATTAGCGTTAATGTCAACGCAAACTTAGAGCTAATGGTAATGGTATATGAGCAATTGCTGACCAAATAAAGTCAACGATATGCCTTTAAAGCATAGACTATATATTTATTTCAACTATGTTTATCATTCAATTGTTCATTTGATAAAAAGAGCTAATTATACCTTGTTGACCTTGTTGAACTCCCCTTTGGCTCTAATTGAGTAGTTTCCTTATATATATGCATACATACATACAATTCTATACACGAAGAAGGAAGGGTTGTATTTATGCAGCAGCGGCTGTATAATTATTGTCATAGCCCACACGCCCAAGCGAGGAGCGGCTCTGTAAGTGATTTGCATAAATGTCAATCATACGCCGCGTGTACCACAAATGTTGTTCCCAGTAGTGCCTTACTTGGCAACGAAAATACATGAACATTTTCGAATGTACTTTTTGGTATTCTTACACCACTCATAGCACATCCTTATGCCCCTCTCACTTGGGCAAATGGCATGGCATTGAGAGTTTCGCTACTCGATTTGCGTTTTATTTCAAAATTGAATTCCAGCACTGATTATGTATGTGTATTTTCGATTTTTTTGTTTGGTTAACGGTACTCGTGGAGCGTTCACCGTACGGTTGGCTCTCACTCGTTTGCGCTTTCTCGTGCTATCTTTTATTTGGTTGCTTAGGGTGCATAAATAAGCAGCACTCAATTATTCGTGTTGTGGCTGAAGCTATATTCGTAATCCTTTATCCTTGTACCTGCGACGTGCTGATTTGATTTGCTTTGAAATTTATTGTTAAGACATGCCACACTCTCTCTCTCTCTCTCTCTCTCTCCGTCTCTTTCTCTCAGTTTTGTTCTTCCACATATGTCATCTATATGGTATTGGGACTGATAAATGCTTTATAAGCTTAATGTTTATGCTAATACTCAGCAGAAATCAATTTTAGACCTGCCGCGGCACTTAAAGCATTCGGATCAAATTTCAAAAAGCGTCTGTTGCGATACTTATTGCTCTACATGTAAATCGAGCACAAAACAAACTCAAATTGTTTGCTTTTGTTATCTTTGGGTCGATTTTCATACCTTTGGCTGGCGTGCACAAATTCTGCCCCTATAGAAATTTTTCATGCGAACCGAAACGACGCTGAGAATTCTCATTTCACTTAGGGCATTTAATTGTGGCCCATTTCATTTTTATTTGCGATTCGCCTTTGAGGTTTCTCGTTGTAGCGTTTAATATCAAATTTTTCAATGAAAAAGTTTCGCTCGAAACCTTTTATCGGTCGAGCCGCTGTTTCCCTGCCACCCGAAAGCCAGTTATAAATGTTCAGCTTATTAAGAATGAAAAAAATAAAACAAAATTGGAGTAACAACAGTTGAATAATATATAAAGATAAATTTAAATATATGTTGAAGCTGTGACAGGTATTAAATAATACTATATTTTTTTCTCCAAAGCCGCCACCGAGAGTGACGTTGACGTTTGATTTTCTATACAATGCAAGCTATGAAGCTGGCTCATGACTGGCTAATTGAGTGCATTAATTATATTTCGATTCAGCAAAAAGCAAGCAGTTGCACGGAAATTAATATAAATTATCCAATGGGGTTTGAGTGCACTGATTTGCACTTCAAGTGCAATTAAAACGTATATGAAACCAGCGCCAAGTTCGCTGAAAAATATATAAAAAAAATGTTTTTAACAACATGTAGCCAAGAATATAACAGCCGTAGAAAATTCAATGAGGATGATAAAAACAACGTGACATTTTTTTGTTTATTTCATCCATATTTAAATTGATGGGAAAAATGTCAACAACAGCAACCAGTCAGTTTTCAGAGTTAATCGAAAAGTGGACATAAGAATAGACCCGAAGCTTGTTTCTTTTTGACTCTGGTCCTCTCTATGTGTATATGTCATACATATATATATACATATACATATACATATATATATACATATACATATACATATGTATATACATATAAATATATAGTCGCCATATACATCTGTCTCGATTGAATCATATTATTTGATTTTGGATTCTATGCATGTGATGGCTTGAATACTTTATGTTTTCATGAATTTTTATATAATTAAAAGAGTAAATGCACTTTCTATATATGATATAATTAAATATTATATGATTACTATTTTATTTTAATTATTTTAATTTTCAAGAAAGCTTCTTAATTTGCCATATTTTTCTGAAAATCAATTTTTAGAACTCTTTTGCTATGAATAACATTTTTTGTGTCATTTTCCTTTCTTGTATGGGCTTTAAGCAAATACTTCAAATCTTTAATGTTTATTAGCAAAAATATCATTGGGCTATTCTAATAAGGCTATCTCTCTCTCTATTCCACTCTCTCATTCTTTTTTTGTTTCTTTCATCTTAACAATTCTCTTATGATTTCACCAACTGGAATATTGATGCTCACTTGCATAAATATGTAGATTCATATATGTATTAAAACATAATTTAATTTCCCTGAAGCAATTGGTTTACTGTGTTTTTAATGTTTTCTTCAATATATGTGCCAGGGCGTGGCCTGGTTTTAACCAGTTGACTGCCTAGTATCACTTCTCGCTCAAACGAGGACTGCATTCTGTTTTTCGATTGCTGCACTTAATTAGCATCGTTGCCATCGGGATATGTTGGTCAAGCAATTGACTCTCTGACAGACAATCAACACATTTCAATGACAATTGCACTTTGGCTTATTATTGAACCTGAAAATTCAATATTGTAATATATATTATATATATACTATATATATGCCTGCTTTACTGTGGTCATTTGTGCAAGTCAAGAACCGACCGAATTGGATGCTCAGATGTATACATATAGATATATATATATATATATATGCATCGACAAGTATATAGCAAATTTATGTATGTGTAAATATCAAAGTGCACCACAGGCTGAATTCGTATGAAATTAAAACTGCTAGCCTTTTGTCCATCCCAACAATTGTATGAAGATTCTTAACAATTCTGTTTGTTGAATGCACAGCACGATTTTTAATTTGTTTTCCGTTTAAAAAAAAAAACATTTAAGGCTGCCACCTCAAAGCGATTGAATTTAATATGTGATAAATTTGCTTTAGATTTAATTTTTAAAATATTAGCAATTTTTCTTTTTAGCAATCTGCATGAATGATTAAAATGCATAAGTAATGTAAGTGTTTTATAATTAATTTTGTTTTATTTTCCATATTTGTGGACTTTCAAATGTAATAAATATAATATAAATTCAAAATATAATTTTATTCAACATTCGGAAGCTCCAAATCTGTAAGCCATTATTATATTAAATATTTAATATTTTAGGGAAATATAGTGAAATATATTTTAAGTTATTCTGAAAATTGATATACAGTATTTGATAAATTATTGTTGATGAATGTTAAAATTCAAGTTCACTTTCCAAATCTAATGATTTATTAAATTAATTGTTAATTTAGTTGTTCAAATAGTTTTCTGTAAAAAGTAAACAGAACAAGTTAAGTAAATGTGTACAGTGAGCTCACGAATCACTTCAATTCTCAAATCAAAGCTGCCATCCTTGCATTGTGTGACAAAAGGGAAATGCTGTGGCCATAAATTGAATGCGAGCTCATTGAATGACCACTGCCTGGGTTGAGCTGTCCACTGGTTAACCCAAATGGCAGCAAATTAGAACTGAAGTGTTTTGCGCTTGTTCTAATTCTTCGCCTCGCTGCCTGTTGAAAAATCGAAGTCGCTTTCGCTGGCCGCTGCTCCCGCGGGTGTTGTGGTGGCCGGGCTGGCTGTAATTCCGGTTGGTTCCTGGACTGGTTTCGCGCTTGAGCTATCATCCGTTTCGCTGCTGTCAACGAAATTAACGCGCTTCTTCTTCTTCTGCTGCTGCTGCTGCTGCTGATGCGCATCATTAGGCATCGCTTGTTTGTCTGTCGACGCAAGTATCGATGTGGGCCTTGCAGGTTTGGCGGCGCTGCCGGCCACCGCTGGTGGGTGAATGGCCTCGGGCTTTGCATCAGCCCCATCGTGTGGTGGGGCTTGCTCCACTTCCTGTGGTGAGACCAGCTCCGCTGCAGCGCCATTGTTGTTGTCCGACATCGGATAGGCGACTTGCTGTTGTTCCTGCTGCTGTTCCTGTTGCTGAGGCTGTGGCTGCTGCTGTTGCTGCTGCTGTTGCTGTTCGCTATAGTAGTCGTAATTTGCTGCTGCAGCATCATAGTCCTGGCCCGCGTAGCTGCCATCCGGAGCATACTGAGTTGCATTGGGATCGGCAATGTACTGGCCAGTGGCCTCATCATATATGTAGCCCGGGTAGGCATTGGGATCATAGCCCGCTGCATATTGCGCTGCATCGTAGTTGCCATAATCCATACCGGAGTACTCTTGCTGTGCTGCGGCTACAGCTGCGTCTGCCTCGGCCTCAGCTGTTGCATTGGCAACATCCGTTGCATATTGCTGATAGTCTGTGGGATTTCCGATTTCACTGTACAGTGGCTCGCCCGCAACGCTAGCCGACTGCTGCAACTGCTGCTGCGGAGTCGACTCAATGCTGGCGTAGCTCGGCTCACCCGGGTCCACATAGCTATTGGCCTCATACTGCCCGAAAGCAATCTCTGCTGGTCGCTGTTGTTGTTGCTGCTCCGGCAATTGTTGTATATCCACGGGAGTTACCTGTTCTTCCTCCTGCTGCTGTTCCTGCTGATGTGGCTGCGGCTGTGATGCGTTGCTTACCAAATTCTCCACTAATCCCTTTGCTGGGGCTGCTGTTGTTGTTGTTGCTGCTGCTGCTGCCACTGCCGTTGCTGCTGTTGCTGCTGTTGCTGCCACTGCCGCCGCTGCGGCCGCCGCTGCTGCTCCTGCTCTAGCTGACATCGCTGTGTTTGTTGCCGTCAAACGTTCGCCGTAAATGGCATTTTCAATATTCTCAATCGACACTCCGGGCTTAGCGAATGGCTCATTGGCTGCCGGTGGCGACAATTGATTACCTCGTGCTAGCTGCTCATCAACCGCAGCCGCTGCCTTCTCTAAAGCTGCACGGCTGGCTTTGACTTCGTCAAGCAAATCGTTGCTGATGCCACCAACGAGGCCGCCAATGGCGCCATCGCCGCCAACTGTTTTCATTTTGCCAGCACGCACGCTTAGATCCGTTTTGTCTTCGTATTGGTCCTTTGGTCGTGTCATTGTTGCTATTGGAGCTGCCGCTGGATGCCAGGGCTCATCGATTTTCAGCTCACCAAAGTAAGCATCGAAATTGTGCTGTTGTTGTTGCCGCTGCTGCGGCTGCTGTTGTTGCCCGCTTGGCTCATTATAGCTGACGACACTTGGCGATTTTTCATGCTCGCCTTTAGTCACGCGTGAATTTGGCCAGGCATCCTGCTCCAGTTCTTGCCGGCTGTTCCTACGCAACGGCGCCGCCGCCTGCGGTCGACCACCAACGTCATCGATGCCAGCAGCGACAGCTGCAGCTGGCACCTCAGCAAGCGCTGCCGTCATTGGCAATTTATCAAATGTCAACGAGGATGTTGCCAACGTTGAGGATGTGCTGCTCAACTCCCGTGCACTCATATCTTTCGCTGAGCATGGAGTTGATATTGTAGTCGTTGTCGTCGTCGCCGTCGTGGTCATCGTCGTCATCATTGATGCTGTTTTTGCTGGCGCAGCTCTGTCAGTGTTACCACTTCGAGATTCATCAAAGTGCGTCATTCGCTCCGGCAAATCGGCATTTTCATTGTCCAGGGCGCGCAATGTGGCACGCAGGTCGAACAGATTGGAGGTGGTAAGCGGCTGCCCTACACCCAGGCCAACACCAGCCCCCCCATACAAATCCGGGTATGGCACATAAACGGGCTGCGGCGTTACCTGTGAAGTTAATAACATACCAGCTTGAGTGGGCGTCGGCGTCGGCGTGGCCATGGCAAAGGCCCATTGCTGTGGCGGCGCAGTCGTCAATGGAATCATCAGTGGTTGGCTTTGATTTGCAATGGGAGCTGGTGCAGCATTTGCCGGTGCTGTTACGACAGCTGGACTCGACACTGCCGTCGACTGGGGCTGTATTAGGACAGGAATTGGCATTGCGTTGCCTCCCGGAGCTGTTGTCTGTTGTATGCAGCGCAATGTTTGGCTTTGAACCAGTTTTGCAAAGTACATTTGGTATTGCAGCTGCATATTGGCATAGGCGATAGAACACGTCAAAGTCAAACACATGCACATTGATTTAGGATGCAGAGAAGGTGACTTTTCGATTGCACCTGCGACTCACCTTCATCATTTTAAGTCGTTCGCTGCGCTGCGACATGACAGCCGTCTGTTCATCAATACGCTCCAGCATCTGCACCAGCTTTTTGTTTCGCTCATTGCGCTGTGTCTGCTCCTCCAGAAACTCTTGGTACTTCTGGCGCGTTTTGTGCCGTACGCCCTTCTCGCTAAAGCAGACCATACCTGGCTGTTATTAATGGCCTTTTGGACTCATTGGCATAATTTGTATGCCTCGTGGGGACAACGAAATTGATGTACTTACATTTCACTGCGTTTCTGTAGAACTTTGTCTAGCTTATGTTCCAGCTGCTGGCGATTGTCCTCGCTGTGAGATATGAAGAGAGAAATGCATAAGTTGAGACTGCAAGTTTGTCATTAAATGTATTTGATACGACTTCGATAACTATTCTCTGCTGTAGATCAAACTTATTGAGCTCAAAGTTCACTAAACAATTACAAATTGAATTACACTCGAAAGCAGCTATAAACAATTGGAAAATTGAGTGTCTAGTTGACTGGCATTTGCTATTCTGCTCCTTCTGCTCTTTCAGCAAACTTATTCAATAATATTTTTCACAGCAGCGCTTAACCAGAGCTCTCTTAAATCGCATTTACTTCTACATTTTGCACTTAAATCTAATTATTAAATATTTTTCAAAGACCTGCGACGCAGCTTCTCCTGCAGCAGCTCCACTTGCAGCTTGTAGTTTTCCAGCTCAGCCTGCGGATACATCTCGATGCAGAAGTGAGTCTAGTCGGGCTCGCACTCACCGTCCGACTGCCAATGGCAACCGGCACGCTACTGTTGACACAGTTTGTGTAGCACCGCGGGCACAGTGCGAAATACAATAAATGCGGCATTGAGAGTTATTTTTAAAGCAAGTTTATTTGAATAGTCGCATTCAAAAGTGTGTGTGGCAGCGTGTGTGCTCGCCTGTGTGTGCGCTTGGCATTTGTTTATTGAGTGGCGTTGTCATGGCGACCTCATGTCTTAGTTTTGTTCATTTTTTATATTTGGTGGTTGCTTGGCATTGGCCCGGGCGACAAGCGACAAGCGACACTGCGGAGTGACCTGCCCTTATTGATTTTACTTTGCCTCTTTTTGGCTCTTGCCACACAATGTGGCAAGCATTGAGAGCGGCCGACTAACTTTCGATTTTGCACTTCGCTAAGTGCCCATGCTCCAAATTGGGGTGGGCATTAATTACACGGCCACCAAGTAGGTCAGTTTTTTGAGCTCCTGCCTCGCTCCACGTGCCCCACCAACGGTGAGAATCGTTGGGTCTGCCCAGAGCATTTGTCATGTATTGCACGAGATTTGCCTCGACGGGCGACCGCAGCTTTTGCACTAAACTTTACCGATTCCTGCCCACACTTTAGGGTGGCTGACAAAAAACACATGTTGTTCCCACATACACGCACACACACACTTCTGTACAGGGATAACGTTGGGCAGCCGAGCGTGCGGCACCTGAATGTGAATTAATGGTAGCGTCTATCACTCGCCAGCCGCAGACAACGACGCACTGACATATTCACAGAGTCACCATCATGACCAGAGCCGCGACATCGTCAGTCGTTGCACACGGAGACCGTTCTGCTGTTGCCGCTGCTGCTGCTGCTGCTGCTACCCCAATCCACCCGGAGGTTGGCTTGGCATCTGCCGTTGTCGTCACGGTGTCGTGGTTGCGGCTCGCAACATAAAATTTTCGGTCATTTACACTGGCCAACATAAATGAAAGTTATGTGCACATAAGCTGAGTTTGGTGTGTGCGTATGTGTTTGTCAAATATACTGAAATTCCTTTTAAGTTTAGCTCAATATATAATTATTGTACTCAAAAGTGTGTGTAGCTCTTACCCAAATTATTTCCTCGACGTCAAGTAGGAAACAATTTGTTCTGTACATAGATCTAATATACATAGGATTTCAATGAAATCATCCAATATTTTACCCAGTTGATTACAATCCATATTGTTCGACAGTTACATGGCATATCATATAGATAGCTGGAATGAATCAGTCTGTCGGGTTAGTTCTTTAATGGTAGTAAGAATATTTTTCCATACATTGTCATACATTCAAGTGTTACACATTGCAAATCAAAGTCAATCAATAATACATTCGAGACTATGTAAAGACGATTTTTAGTACAAAAACTTGAAATCGCGTTCAAGCTATATCAGGCTCTAGTCAGACACTTCCCTTGCCACTTAAATTAAAAGTCCTATTTTTATATAAAGTGAAATAACAGCTGTAAAATCGTAGACTGCAACATTTACCAACATATTTATGTTAGAACCTATTGTCAAGTGAATTTAAACAATTGACTTGCCAAATAAAGTTGTTGCCAAGTAACGCGAGTGGAGGACGCGCGTGTGCTCCTGAGCCAAAGCTGCTAAAAAAATATGAATGAATGAAAAGCCAAATATTTGATGGAAAATGCTATTGACATGCCATCCTCGGCACAGGCCGGCCCTGCGGACAGGCATTGCTGGAGACACGAGTGCGGAGAGCACACGGCTGATTGATTTTTGGTCGGCCGTAAAAACTGACTTCAAACAAATTGTATTTAAATTGTTGCGCAATATTTTTGATTAACTTGGATCTGCAGTTCGTGGCAGAAGTCGCGATAAAATGCACTGACTAAATGTTGAACAAACTAAAACTGGATTCAATGGTTATGTATTTTTCGATTGGGCGCTAGTCGGAGCGAAGCAATTTGCCTGGAAACTTTTTTGGCGAATCCAAAAGAAAATTGAATATTTGGCCAGAGCGAATTTATGTGTACGGCTTTATGCTGCAAATGCCACACTTTGTGGGTCTATGCTGCTTGCATGTATGTGTGTGTGTATGAGTGTGTGCGTTGCCTGCTTATCAGTCGCTGCACAGCATACATTTTGGCGCATTTAATTTCAGAAGAAGTGGCGACCTCTGCGCCTTTTGCCGATTTGCAGTCAATGAAGCAGAAAACTGAAAACTTTTTCTTTGCACTCTATTAAAAATAATGGCCGCTGACAGCGGAGCCACTCGCCAAGTGCAAAAGACGCCACATGCAGCTCCCATGCGTATGGCCCTGCTCCGAGTCTGCCTTCCTCGGCTCGCCGCTGTGTGTGCGCGAGACAGTAGCTGGCATTACATTAATATATATGTATGTGTACTTCTGGTAATTTCTCATAACGCTCCATTCATAGACGCTGCGCTGCCAATGACCACTCGCGAGTGCCTTTCACAAGCGCTCGGTCTGAACTGTGAGGCAAAGGTTCATCGCTGCGGCAAGCCACTAGAAGTTGATTGAATTTTTTGTTTTTATAGGCATTTTAACTGCAACCTCATGGCTGCAGAAAAACTTTTTCTAAACTGCTGTTAAGTAGCTTAATGGAATACAAATGAATTCATATTTATATTAAACAGGTTTTTTTTGTTTTTTTTTTTTCATTATATAACAATAAGCCAGATAGGTAATAATGCTATAAAAATATATTCAAATAAAAGATTCTTCAATAAAAGATTCTTTAGCTCAATTTCAGTTGTAAAGTTCAGTTCCAGGGCATTAAATTCTCGCATATAGCCAAAGCTCTACTGGCTGCGCTTGCTTTTTGCCCTCTCGCTGTTGACATGGTGAAAAAACTACAGAGCGAAATCGCGCAGCAGTGCGCAGGTTTTGTGGTTAACGCGATAATTTAATTGTAATGCGGGTCTGGCACCTTGTGTGCCAATAACTTAAGTTGCAATCGGCGCAGCGCTTATTGGGTTAAGCATGCAGCAGCAGAAAGATGTGAGGAGGGCATGTAGATTGTGCAGAGGCAAAGACTCACATGCTAGTTGGCTGGAGGTAGAAGTGAATGAACCCCAAAGGCACAGCCGCAATGGATGCAGCAGCAGAGCAGCAGAGCTGGCAAATAAATTCCGAGACTGCTCATGCTGCAGCTTGTGCTGCTGCTGTTGTTGTCGCATAAAGGCGCCAGCACGAGCTTGGCATTTTTGCACGTAAGCCAACGAGCAATAGCGGACGTAGCATACTCACTGGCGCTTGGCCAAGCAGAAGGAGCGAGTGTGAGTGCCAGAGACAGTTGCATTACTTTCCAACCAAGAAACAGTTGCCATGCCAACATCAAACATTCGATATCGATAAAGTATCCAAGTAGCCGCGCCTCGGCCGACTCGCAGCCAGTTGCAATGGAAGCATTGAGTGAGGAGGAGCAAGCTGAATGGAAGCGCTTGATGCTGGCTGTCACCTATAAGGAGGCCATTGATAAGCTCGTGCTGCAGCAGCGCTCACAGCGCTTGAATATGCAGAAGCCGCCATCGCGGTTACCCGCCTCGTTGCGCCGATTGCGCAGCTCCTCCATTGGGCAGCAGGCGATGCCTGAGCGAGTGCTGCTCACGGGCAAAAAGCTGCCACGGCTGGAATCCTTGCTGGGCGACACAGATCAGGATGATGTCAAGGTGGATGAGTGTGTGCTAAATGCCTTGAAATATGAACGTGACTTGGATGCGCTGCGCGCGTTTTTTATGGCAGCTAACCAACAGCTGTACATGACCCAAGAGGAATTGGATAGTGAAAAGCCAAGTCGCCTGGAGCTGGCTATTAGTGAGCTAAGCGGCAACAACAGCGAAGAGGCTGCGGCGATCAATGAGCTTCAGCGATCCAGAGACGAGCTGAAGCAGCTGAAGGCTCAATTGGAGCAGCTGGAAATCGATGGGGCGGCCAAGCTTAAGGAGACAGAAGAACGCATTGCCGATGCCAAGTACAATTTAAAGTGTGTTTCGCGGGTCAACGAGCTGGAGTTCAGTCTGGTCGAGCGTTGGGAGGCGGCGCGCGTGGCCCAGGCCCAAATTTGGGGCGAGAATGCCGAACGGGCCTATTTGCGAGACATACTCGACTACAAGCAGCGTCTGGCGCGTGAGGAGCGCGTCAGCCAGGAGCTCAGTGCCTTTCGCAATCGTGAGCTGGCAGACTTAAGAGAGCGCATTGACCACTGGCAGCAGCGCTATGCCAGCGAGATGCGGCGCGTCGAACGCGAGACGGAGGCCTGGCAGCTGCGAATTCTGGAACAGAACAAATTGCTAGCGCATCATCAAGAGCTGAACGCACAGCACAAGCAGTTCGTGCGTGAGTATCGCATCAAGAAGGAGGAGGAGCAACGTCTGCACGATCTTGAGGTGCATCGCATAGAGAGTGTCATCAAGCTGCAGGCCTGGTGGCGCGGCACCATGGTGCGACGCGGCCTGGGGCCCTTCAAAAAGAAGCCGAAGCGCGGCAAGCGATCCAAGACAAAGAAGTAGACAAATAAAATGCAAGCCAACAACATTTGAACCCATCTTTGCCTTATGGAAATCAGCTTGAGCCTTAAAACCAATTAAAAAGTTGGCTCGCTGCAGTTAACACGTTAGCGGTCAACGGCTTGCGTCAGCCTTAATGGCTTGCCGGCATTGTCAACAGCCTTGGCCATTGTTTACGCGCTGCTAATGGGCCAGCAGTCATCACACAGCTCGGCTGCTGCCACTGACAGCAGCAGAGGCGGCTGCTGCTGCTGAAGTTGAAGTTGGTATTAAAGTTCTTTCTTATATTTTTTGTTCTGATTGTTTTATTTCCATTTTTTCTCTCCCTCATATAGTTGGGATGCATGGCGCTATCCAAGTGGTTTTCAGCAGCAGCAACAATGGCCTGGTTGGCAGTCAGTTTGTTATTGTCGTTGCTTTTGCTTTCATTGTTGCAGCGCTGTTGGAGCAAGGCGATAAACAGCGACAATTTGCCCGCTGAATGGGTGCAACTTTCTCTCTGTCGAGGCACAACTTACCAATGTGTATGTGTGTGTGTATGTGCATTGTAATTTAAAATATAATTAATGGCCGTTGCCTTAATTTATTGAATTTGCATGGGCGCCAAGCACGTTGCCATTGCTGTTTGCTTCTGACCGAACGCCCGCCTGCCGGCCTGGTTGTTATTGTTTGGCTTAATGCTCACTTTTGTTTTATACCCAGGCACTCGCAACAACAATAACTACCCAATAATGACTGCCGCAAGTCCATTTTGTTGCAAGGCCTTTTGTCTATTTGCTGACGGCTGAATTAATGGAAGATGGCGTGAGAAGTATACCAAAAAAGAAGAAAAAAGAGGAAAGGCATAGTTACAACTTTTATACATATGAAATAGCACACAAGGGTAGCTGAAATGAAAATGTAGATAAAGCCCTAAATAGTTAAAAAGTTCTATTAGTTATGGCATTAGTTGTATAGCTTTAAGGGTATGGCTTGACTCAACATTAAATTAAAAATAGTTTTATGTATAAGCAAATCATGTAGAGCAATAAAAGTCATTTCTATCGTAATGCATATTCTGACTTCAAAGTTAAAAATAATCTAAAGTTAAATAATCTAATAATCACATTTTTTTTTGGCATCAGGTTTAAGCCCTCTTGCTTGGTTCTAAACAAAATTAAAGAGAGATACACATTGTCTGTCCTGTTCCAGAGCTTTCGCTCTTTTTCTCTCCCTCTCTTACATATTAAAAAGTGAAAGACACTACTCGCAAGAGTTTGATCGACTCAGCTATTCATGCTGATCAAGACTACCCGCATAAGAGCTAGTTCTGAAGCAACTACTCTGCGCCAAAATAGCTTTTATATGCTGTAGCTAAATGGTTAGCTTCTTGCAGGGCAAGCTTAAGTCTGTCGTTGGCCCTTTAATCCGGGGCTTAAATTCATAACTGGTTTGATGTGGGGCACATCGCAGTGGGGCACACTCGCCTAGGCAACTGCGCTGACTGTCGTATGCATTAGTTAAAACATAGTAAAACGAACGTTCGCTGAAATCCTTTAAAAATGGCGGGCGCAACGCTGCTTGCCCCAGGAGAAAAGGACCCCGAATAGGACTGCCTAAAATTTACATTCAAATTAGGGTTAATGAGCAGTGAAATTGTTATTTAACTTCACTTGGCCGTTAGCCGCTTTAAAGGGAGCAACACTTGCCGAAGACTTGTTTTAAATAACCACGCAGTTTGCGACACGTTTTGGATATTTTCTAGTGCCAAGCAAAACGAAACAAAACAAAAATGAGGATTCCGAGAGAGGAGCAAGTTGCTTGCTGGATATTCGGGCGCATAAATTAATTGAATATTGTGTATACGCCACGTGCTCAGAAATTAATTTCTTGCACATTTTTTTAGAGCGTTAGCAACCCGCAGCAATATTTAAAATTTAATCAAGCACTTTAATTTGATTAACTACACACGTCTTTCAATATAAATTTATGGCCGCTCGACGCATAATCAGAGACCAGATCCCGCACTGACCAACCGTAAAAAGGGTTGGCCACCCCCGCCAGCTGAACAGACCATTTTTTAGTCTCGTCACAGCTTTCAACACTCCAGCGCCGTCATTTAAAATGCGTGCGTGACGTGCTGCTCGGGGGCTGAGAGAGTGCTGAAAGAGTGCTGATGTTTTAACATCTAATAGCAACACGTACGCCTGATAAAATATTTTATTGGCTTTATATTATTTTAGCATTTAAAATTAGAGCAGTCGACCCACTGCTCTGCTCTCAGTAGATACTCTAAAAATTGACGCATCGAAAAATATGTGGGAGTTTCATGAAATTCTTGTGACACCTACTATACTCCATTGCAACAGCTGCAACTACAGGGTATAACAGCGCGAGTTCGCCCAACTATTAATATTAAACTTTGAACTAAAATATTTGTTTCCTTTTTGCAAATTTAACAGTTGCCACAATTGACTCATGCAATGAGCTTGAAAACATAAGCTTCACTTGTTAAACTATTTAATATTTAATTAATAATGTTACATTTTATATCTGGTTATTTGAAACAGCAAAAAAAAAATCAAGCTAGATATTTAATTACTTAACAAATGTTTATAATATTAGTAATTATTATTACATTTGAAATAATATCAATATTAAAACTTAAATTTGTCAATAGCAAGGTAATAGAATAGACAAATTTCAAGTATATGTATATATAAGCATATCTTAAATCTAGCTATATATGTGTATTTTAAAATATTTATTTAAACATATATATTTATTAAAAATATTAATATTATTTCAAATTGCACAGCTGTCACTTACCCTTTAAGAAGTTTATTTTTACACTTATTCATTTATCATAGATTTATTAGAAAATTATATAGCTAACTCCTTAAGAGTGCTATTAAAAAATCCTGACTCGGATGAATTGATTTCTTTATCTTATCCAATCCTAGACACAAATGTTGCCTGGTAAAATGCAGCAAATTCTGTTAGTAGTCTTAGGCAACGAATAAAGCAGGCAATATTCAACATTTATATAGTAGCTTCTCGAGTAGAGACGGTTTTAAGCCATAGGACATTGAATAAGATGGTCAAAGTTTTGGGGAAATTCCTTTCGGCCGTTGGTCTAAATCCATATTTCATGTAATTGGTGCGGAACTTTTACGCTTTTGCCTGTGCTGCAATTCGGCGTCCATAAATCATATTAAAATATACAGCCCTAAAATGAGGAGCTAAACAAACACCGGAGTCATTTTTATTTGTGTACGTGTCTTTTGTGTAGCGCCCGACCTGGACTGTGAACAGCCAACTCGCACTGCATATCTCATCATGCAAATCTTAAATAAATCCTTAAGTTCGCTTTCACGGAAATCACGCCCAGCCGGCCAGCAATTTAAGCTCGCACTCGGACTATCTTAAATACGAACGGTAAGCGGCAAGTGGCAAGTGGCAAATGCTCCATGCCAAATGCCGAGTGCCAAATGCCAACTGCTGCTGCCAAATGTTGTTTCCGATTCTGATCTATGTGGGCGGCGCTTGAGTATCTCATCCAAGTGCTGCTGGCGTATTTGTGTTTTCATTATTGTGCGTTCTGAAGCATGATTTGATTTTCATTTGCCTGCTGCACATATTTTTAGCATAATTCAGCAATTAGCTGCGATTGTGTGGTGCTTTGGTCAAAAAATCAAAGCGTGGCAGCCAAATCGAAATCTGGATTCAGTTGGCATGTGAAAAGAAAGTCGGCAAAAGTTTTTCGCAACAGCAATTCTCTGTTATATCATTTGTTTACTAATTCTGTTGTTGTTGTTGCGCGCCGTTAGGAATTTTAAATATGGCGTCTGTTTTGTTTGAAAACGGAAACGAGTGTCTGTCAGTTTATTTGTTTGTTTGTCTGTCCTTTTTTGCTGTTCTGCCACGTTGTTGTCGTCAGCAACGTCGACGACCCGAAATGAAGTCAAGCAACTTTCATGCCGCTCCCTTGGCAAAGGAAATGCCGTCTAATGTGTTAGTTTGTGCATCCGTCTGTTCAGAGTTTTTGTAATTGTCACAGCCAGTGGCGTCGACGTTGACCAGCCATCGGAGGGTTTCACTCAACACAAACTTGACATTTACTTTTGGCCTCTTGTCTATGAAGAATGTATGTTAATATTACGCAAAAGTTATTTAAAATAAAAATATATAGCTATTCACGTGATTCTCTCTACAAACATTTGCTTTAACACAATTTCTCTTTAATAAAGTTTGTAAAGTTTCGCAAGATTTTTTTAACTATGAGCAACTGTTTGTATTTAATGCACGTCTCTGTCTCAGTTTCAGGGCAAAACTGTTTGAATAATCAACTCACATAGCCCATGACATAACGGCAGCACAGTGCGCCCTACTAATAAACTTTGCTTTGCATTTTTAACAGCCTACTTTTCGGCGCATTAACTTTAATGTAACTATTTTATCCAACGGCCAGTAGAGATATTGTAAAAGCGGCTACAAAAGAGTTGGCTTGATCCGAAGCACCTTGCAAAACATTTGAAAGCAATTTTAATCAGTTTTAATTAATTGATGGCACTCCATTTGACTATCGCAATGGAGAGGCCTTGAGCTGAGTAAATGGATGTGAAGAGCCGCTAGCAAACAAAATTCGCTTATCGTCGATTTCCAATGGTTTTTGTATGACCTTCGACACACAGTCGAACTAACATATGAGCTATTTATGCAGATTTTTGCATCTATAATGAAGCAGCCGCTGCCACAGATAAACGTGCCAATAAATTAATGTGCTTTGCATTTCGTTATTTGCAGTCAGTCATACGATAGTGAAATTGCAAATACACACACGCACACACACACAAAGAGCATGAATCACACACGAAGTGCCATGCATTTGCCAGCTTTTACTCTTTGATCAGCCTTCTGGCTGCATTTTTCCGCCAAGCTTAGCACTACACACAATTTTAATTAACTGCCACTCGTTGCAAATGCAAATGGCCGATAGCCGATGGTCAAAAATTAAAAACAAAAAATTGCATAATGCC